CTGGAAACGATGATGCATACAATGGACTCCGGACTAGGTGCGTTTCTTTAAGTCTTCCTACCAATGTGACGAGTTGCGAAAACAAGGTCAAACAACTTCTATTCGACGAAAGGAGACTACGACCACACAAAAGGCCACAACATCTTGGTCTTTATACCTTCAATATAAATGAATATTGTCTTCAAGTGGTTAATACTAAAACAGTACGATAGATTAATGGGAGATTGTGTCTATATAGCAGGAATGAAAACTGTAATTGCAAATATTGGGGTTACCGAAAAAGGTAAATGTATAAAGCATTCAAAAAATGTCAAGAAAATATTTTTCAGAAATGCGCAAAATTATCAATTTTCTGAAATTACCTTGGCCAGGTTATACCATATATTAATTTAAAAACCGTTAAGACTTATCAATAATATTTTAATACCCCCTATCTGAGACAGTAGCATGAACAACTCTAGTACACGAGGTTGGCAATGAGACAGCTAAGCTACCATCTGTGGCAATTATATTTATAGTCAATTACTTCATATACATATGTCAATATTTATTTTTTAGTATAAAGGTGTACTCACACTTCTGAAAGGTAGAGTGAAAATTCCATTGAGAAACCTAATGGAACAAATTCACTTTTTGAAAGATGAATGAATGATACAGTGCCTAATGACCATCCACAAGTTCTTAAGTATTTTAACGCCCTGCAGTAATTAATCATCAGACAGGTAAGCATAGGTTAAACAATCTCTTGAATAAATTTGCCATATTGGGGCATACACTAACCGGATCCAAAGACTTGTTGAAAGAGCTCCAAAATTGTTGCACGGTGGACGGGCATTGGAGACTTATCCGCTTGACCTACTTCAGCATCCAGATTCATATCTAGGCAGGGTTGGGATCCGTTCGACTTAATTAAAGGTTGAGAACGACGTTCGTCCTTAACCTCAGATTGAAAGCGAAGTCGTTGGCGCCGTATCAAGTGTTCAATGGTAGTCTCACCATTTATTATGGAACGCACCTGAAAGGAAGTATAGGTAAGAAAGAATAGAAGGAATAAATATAAACCAGACATTCCGGCAGTTTGCTATATTAAACTCAGATAAATTCCATTGAAAATTCTTAAGAGTTTGATCTAGAGCCTGTTTAATGATATTTAACGAGATAGAAATGTTCATTCTGAATACTCCTTGAAAACTCAGATAGAGCATAATTCTTCCAAACGAATAAATAGCTAATTTACCTGTTTATCAGGAACTATTTATTTTAATAATTCTCATTTTTGATTGTCGTTAAAACTTGTATTAAGTTTGAAAAGGTGAGCGGAATGGATTCGTAAATTGACCGCACAGGAAACCAAATGAAACCCACCTTGGTGTTTAAGCACAGTAGTAGTAGTCACTAATTATTCATTTATCCTCTTCTCTTTTAAGCATAAAGCTCGGACTGATCTTTCGAATTACCAGTTCCTCTAGTAGGACGATTGTGACCATTCACATGCCCCCCAAAGCTGATTTCCTGGCTTGAGACCTCTCACCCATGGTTTACATTTATCCCTCTGAGTCTCCTTCCTGGTAATTTGAATGATAACCTCATTTAAAGCCTATCCTTTTCACCGTATACTCAATCCATAATTTATCTAGGTTCATTGGAACATTAAGGGGAATTCTTATTGACTAGATGAAGAGAAACTGGGCCTTGAAGAACATGTGGTTACTACAGCACACCAGATAGAGTGGTCTGAATCTCAACGCTTTGCCGGATATGTGGACTTCACAGCTAAGCGGAAGATCATATAGTGGATTGAAATTAATAAAAAGAGCATCCTGATTAAGAGGAACGAATGTAGGAAAC